ACCAGAGTTTGTCAAACAGAAACTTCCACCAGCTGAAAACAAAGAAATGTTGATTCAAGAAGCTGCAGACAAACGGGAGGAGAGGCAGCTGTTACAGCCTGTGGACACACACACACACACACACACACACACACACACACACACACATTCTTCATCTCTTTAATCTCCTCCCTCACTTTTTCCTTCCTTCCTTTCTATCCTACTTTGTTCCATTTGATCTTGTTCGTTTCCTTCCTTCATTTGTCTTGAGATTTACCATGCGGACTAAAAGAAGGGAGGAGTCTGAAGAAATAACTCTGTACCTGTGATTGGCTGACCGTTGATGCTCCAGGTGATAGTCGGGGTCGGGATTCCTTCGGCCTGACATTCCACTCGCACAGTCTCACCCGGAGCGTACAGCAGGCTCTGAGGCTCCTTCACCCAATAAGGAGCCGCTACGGAGACGAGAGTTGAATTAACACTTTAACAGCTGCATCCTGAAAACAGTCACAATTCATGATTGTACTCACAACACAGTTATAATACTAGTACTTTCTCTTGTGAAAGAATCTTAGACTGTGGAATAAATAGCTTGCACTCAGGTGTTTTGTTGCTTGCCCTCGTATTTCCTGCTCTGCAGCTTCAGCTCTTCAACTCGAGCTGCTTCTGTACAAGCGGGAAACGTCTGCTCTCGGATTTCTCCTCTGCTTTTGGATCAAAATTCCCTAAAGGCACGACTGCAAGTGTCACTCTTCTAGAGCTGAAGCTGAAGAGCAGGAAATCTGTCCAGCATCAGAATATCACAGTTTGAGCACAAGCAGGGGCTGTTTGAGTGCAAGCGAAGGGAATCTGAATGTTAAATCAATACATGCTGCTCTCAAACTGAAAGACCACACTCTGGAATAAAGAGCAAAGATAAATAACACGTCTCCTACCTTCCACAGTGACGGTGAACGAGTGTGTGGTGGAGCCGTGGATGTTGAAGGCTCGACACTCGTATTCTCCGTCGTCGGTTTGCATGATGCTGTTGAAGGTGAGCCAGCGGTCAGAGTTCTCCACGACGCCGCTGGTCTCGTCCAGGCTGCCGTCCTTCTTCTTCCATTCCACGCGTGGAGTGGGCCTGCAGGCGGACGGATGAACGGACAGAGGTAAGGAAACAGACAAGATGTGATTGATAACAGAGGGTGAACGAGCGGTGTGGAGGAAATCCGAGCTGAACGGACACAGATCATCTTGTTACTTGTTGCATCATTAAGGAGAAATGATCATGACGCTCCATTTATCACCACGGGGACGGAAGTCTCAGGGGAAGAGAGGATTCAAGTGCAAACACAAACCAGGAATGAAACAGAGGACGGATGAAATGACGACTGAAGAAGCTGTTTTAAACCACGAAGGACACTTGAAAGAACAACCTGCATTTAGTTATTCAGATCCACGTCTCTTTGTTCGGAGTTCAGAACTCTTATTTCATCAGGCTTGTGTTTCTGATCCCACCTTGTTGTGTTGATTCTGAAACGGTGGCTTTGCTGGGTGATAAGAGAGAACACACACTTACAGGCCTTTGGGGATACACTCTAGTGTGACGCTGTGATCTCGGAGGGCGTTCACTGTGCTGTGGGAGCCGCTCGGTCGAAACAGCTGAGGTTTTCTACCATGGACGACGTCATTACCTGGAGACAGAGAGATAACACACAAGTGTAACGTATTCACGCAGCCACCAAGAAGGGTTACGTACAATCTACCAGACAGACGTCCATGAAACTTGGAGGAAAGATAACAATCCTCAGTTGATGGGTTTGTAGTGTCTTTGTGTGTGTGTGTGTGTGTGTGTGTGTGTGTGTGTGTGCGCACTCACTGGGCATGACGGTGAGTTTTACAGCCGTCTCTGGCAGAATGGTCCTGGCTGCTGAATACTGTGCGTTGCAGATGTAGTCGTCTCTGCTGTCGCTCTTTAGAAGATTTGCAAAATACAAGTTCCCATCGAGGCCGAGCGTCACTCTGTCACTCTGCTTGATGTGCACCATCCCTGAGGAGAGAGAGAGAGAGAGAGAGAGAGAGAGAGAAAGGGAGAGAGAGAGAGAAAGGGAGTAAAATGTAAGGAGTCCAGAATCATCAGCTGACGCTGCTGCATTCATTAGGAGGAGTGGAAATCTGCAGTGCAGTGATGTTAATCCCTCCAAGCTGCAGAAACTGAAACACAGACGGACTAGAGCCAGAAACAAAATGTCTGTGTGCAGACAGACAGAGACAGACAGACAGAGACAGACAGAGACAGACAGACAGACAGACGGACTGACTCACTCTTGTCCATCCAGTGGATGTGTGGAGGGGTCGTGCTCTCCGGGGGGTTGCAGGACAGAACGATGCTCTCTCCCTCGTACGCTCGCTTGCGTACTTTCTGCTGTTTTAGAAGAACCGGTTGAGCTGAAACACAAAGCGTCGTTGAAGGAGACATGTCGTGCTCAGGATGATTCAGTCATTAGTGTTACTACTCGTTCAAGAGCAGCTGCATAGATTCGGGACGTGTTCGGCAGAAATGAATGTATTGCTTCAGTTGTTGTTCCTCCTACAGAGGCTGCTCTCTCACCTCCCAACACTGTCTTTGTAAATCTAGACAAATGGTGAGAATGACAATTCTAATGACTCGAATACTCTTATTTAGCATAAAGGCCATTCTCAAATGGGACACGACAATGGACGATTGGTACAAAGAAGAATAAAACTTTTACCCTCCATGATGTCGAAGGTTTTAGCAACATAATCTGGTTTTGGACTTTACTCTGAACTGACTGATTATTCTGTGTAGCTGTGTTATGTGTCGGGGCTGTGTGTGTCTGTATATCTCTTTTCTTTTGTCCCGTGTGTTCGTGGACGTGTGACTGCTGCTGTCTGCGTTCTGTTAAAGCCTCGGACCCAGCAGCCTCAGAGACCTCGTGCTTGTTTCACAGTGGTTTGTGCAGCAGCTGCTCACATGGAGCAGAAGTTGTTTCATTATCATGTCGACTGCATTTACTGCTTCACAGTGGCTGTAATTCTATTGATCAGAGGAAATGGCAGAGATACTAATGGAGGAGGAGGAGGAGGAGGAAGAGGAGGAGGGGGAGGAAGAGGAGGAGGAGGAGGAGGAGGAGGAGGAGGAGGATTTCACAAACGATGTTGGGTTTGTTCTTCCTCACCAGTGAAATGAGAGATGCTCAGTTTATTCTGCTTCACTATGTGATCACGCTGCTTCAACTCGGCCGTCATTGATTTTTCCTGACAAACTGGGATCCAGTGGCCTTTTTACACGTCCATCAGACGGAGCGTGGTGATTCGTGTGTGGTGTTTGTGTCCACCTGAGGAATCTAGAGTCAGTTTGTTCTCCACCACCTCCCTCAGGCTCTTCAGCTGCCAGATGCTGCACCGTGTCATTCCATCTTAATTTACAGATCATAGTTTCATCTTTGAGGTTTGTGCTAAATCTGGAGAAATTCAGGCTCAGAATGATTCAGACGAAGGGACGGCACTGTTACCACAACAACTACACAACAACTACACAACAACTACACAACAACTACACAACAACTACACAACAACTACACGTATGTGTTTATCCCAGTTTTTACCTCAAAACATTCAGATGTGGAGCATGAAGATGAAATGATGAAACTCTCTCTCTCTCCTCTAACCAGTGTGTGTTTCTATCCCAGCACAGGCCG